GAAATGAGCCCTTTACTAATTTGCTAAATTATCTTGAATAACGTGTAAGGATTTGTTCACTGACCATCGATATCGATTATCTGGTAATGATTCAAATGTAGGATTTCGATTTCAGTTCACAATAAAAGTACAAAGAACTCAAAGAGAGGCGAAGGATACCAAATGGCATTAAAATTCATAAGTCGAAAATAAATTGACAACGCCATTGCTAAAAATTAAAAAGACAAACAGACAAACAACAGTACACAAAACACAACATAGGTTTCCAAATTTTAAATATAAAAAGGAAGAGCGCTTGATGCTTATTTCCGTTCGCAATACACAATTAACTTTTCATAAAGTACGTTGGAAAACAAAAGTATGAAAAGATAAAATTTTATAACGTTTGAGAGAACAAAAAATCACAAGCAAAAATGTACAGACGAATGTGTTATCTTATGATCTTTGACAACAACAATAGGGATATATTACGATTAGACAAAGGTATGTCGTTACAGGCAAATACTTGTTGATTGTGACCGTAAAACTTTTGAGGAGTCGATGTTAGTCTTTCTTCGCATAGCCCGGGTGAAGAAATGTTGGCATTATAAGTACAAACTTTTAACAAAATCCGTAAATGCCGAAACATACGATAGAGGTTATTTTTATACTGAGGAATGAGAAGCTGACAATTGGGAAACTGATATTGTCACATTTCACTTATAAGTGTTTTTTTGCAGTTTTTTTTCTAGTCGAACAAATTTTAAGTTATCGCTTGCTCCTTGTTTCAGATGAAATCAAAACATTAATTATCAACAAAAAAAACTCACTAAATATACCAGGCTTTATAATGAGTTTATCAACAATCACTGGGTCGATGTCATTACTGGTAGAGAGTCCATCCATGAGTGTTTTACAGGGCTGCCCAGTAGTCAGCACTTCTGTGTTGCATGCATTATCATTGATATGGTCATAATTATAAATTAACATTTTCCAAAGGATGTGCTACCCACAGGAATAGATTACCTTAGCTCTATTTAGTAAAACCCTTCGGAATTATGGTTTCTAAATGCTTTTCAACTTCGTACTTTATTTGGCCTTTTTTTCTTTTTTTATTCAAACGTCACTTATGAGTCTCTTCTAGACAAAACGCTCGTCTTGCGTAAAAAATTTTAAGCCTGGTATCTATGATGAGTTTATTTACATTTTTTACAGATTTGAGCGTCATATTTGTGTTACATGTAAACAAAAAAAGTTTTAAGCCTGATATCTTTGGTGAGATTTTTATCTATGCATTTGTTAATTTTCATTCACGTTTCTATTACATTCTTTTTTATATAAAATTAATTAAGAATTAATTAATTCCACTTCAGCAAAAACGATTTTAAGTTTCAATTAAGCATATAATTAGTTATTAGACTTTTTACCGGATTTGTAATAACATAAGCAACACGACGGGTGCCACATGTGGAGCAAGATATGCTTACCCTTCCGGAGCACCTGAGATCACCCCCAGTTTTTGGTGGGGTTCGTGTTGCTTAGTCTTTGGTTTTCTATGTTGTGTCATCTTTACTATTATTTGTCTGTTTGTCTTTTTATTTTTGGCCATGGCGTTGTCAGTTTGTTTTCGATCTATGAGTTTGACTGTCCCTCTGGTATTTTTCGTCCCTCTTTTATTTGCACCCACTTGCGACATATATTGATACTCTCTAATTTCATGATCAAATTTGTACTTTTCAGTGATTAACAAAACGATTAGGACGCAATTGACGGTAGAATAGCTACTTACACTTCAAAGAAGTCTCTTTATGTTACATAAAACCAATTAAAGAGCTAATGTTTTAGAATATACAATGTTTATTAAAAAATAATTCTATTTAAACAGATGGACTATATTTTAGAATTGTTGGTAAATAATTAGATCAATATATCGCAGTAACAGGTTTATTAGCACTTCAGACATTATTTAAATTGTATACTTTAGTCGTTCTGATTTTTTATCATGTTCTTAACAGAGCTCTGTCAAAATCTTTCGGAGTGATCTCCCATTTTCAGGCATTTAACAATAAATTGCATATTTCTTAAATATTACTTTTAGATATACTGATGATGTTATGTCACTCAATAACCCACCTTTCAATGAGTGCTTACATCTCATATGTCCCATTGAACTTGCAATTAAGGATACCTTAGAAAGTATGTCTGGTTCTCATCTTGATCTTTCCCTCTATATGGACACAGATGGCCGACTTCAAAGCAAAATCTATGACGAAAGTGATGATTTCAGCTTTCCAATTATCAACTTCACATTCTCAGCAGTAACATACCCTAGGCACTATCAAATGGCGTTTACATATTCCAGTTAATACGCTGTTACGCTTGGGCATGTCAATACTATACGGATTTCATTAACAAGGGTGTGTTCCTTCAAGAAAAAACTGCTCAAATTGATTTACTAGGAAGAACGACTGAAATCGACACTACATAAGTTTTACCGTCAACATCGCAAATTGGTTGACCAATATGATTTGTCGGTGTCTAAACTTACTAGCGACATCTTTTCGCGGTCTTTATTTGTCAGTATAGTTGTTTGATCTGTAATATAACCGGTTGTGTCCTATTCCTCATTGTGTATTTGACTGATTGGGAAGTCCCACGGCTCTAATTTTCCTTCATAGAGAGTACAGCAAATTCTTCTTCTTTTTTCCAAAAATTACTCAATTTTAAAACTGTTTAGATGCTCGAATTTTTACTGTCATGATCTATATATTTTCCTTAAGAAAAATTTGTCTTTTGTTAAGACAATAAATATCAAAAAAATCAAAAAAATCAAATAATCAGTCTAAGATCAAAATGGCATATTTATGCTTTGGAAATACAATTTTATTGAACATGTGAAATGTTTATTGAAACAGATGCTCTTAACTTGTTTACCTACAGTATCACTGCAGCGCTGTATCAAAGTAGATGATTGCTTAATATAAAGGAACGTTTAACAACTGTAAAGCAAATGGGAGATTTAGCTAGCTTTAAAACCAGGTTTAACCAACCATGTTTTCGGAAAATGTCTGTACCAAGTCAGGCATATGACATTTGTTACCATTAGTTCCGTTGGTTGATATAGTTGGGCGTTTGATTTTGTCAGGTTTCATGGACTTCCCCGTTTCTAAGTTTACCTTGGAGTTTGGTATTTTGTTAATACTTATTTATATTCCTTTTTTTGTTATACTTTTTAACATTTTCAAAGTATGAATATCAGTCTTTAGTTTTTATGTAGTGTTTTATAGACTGCTGTTTCACTTTTTGATGTTTTTTCGATTTTGCCATGATTTGTCTTTTGAATCTTTGACTAGATACTAATAGGACTTAAGAAATGCAGGAATTGCTCACAAAAACAAAAACCATAACACATAAAAACGTATCATTCTGATTCCATCCGTATTGCATTCGTTTCATGAAGAAGCATCACCCCTTTCCTTCCTAACCAATTACTAGAGGCTCTAAAGAGCCTGTGTAGACCACCTGCAACTTTAACAATGGCTACTTTTTAGAAAAATTCATCCCTAAAAGGGAATAACTCGATTAAGAGTTAACTGGCGATTTTTGTCATGTTGATGTTTTTTTCACATCTTATCCTGCTAATATCTTCCTTAAGCATTCTATTTATCTGTTACAGTTTTCAAGATATTAGGCAAAATCACAAATAAATGGAAATTAAAAGTAAAGTAACTTAAAATACGAGTCGACTGAAGATTTCGGTCATTATAACTTATTTGAATATCTTGTCTTGCTGATCATATTTTAATTGTTTAAAGTTTTTATCTGCTAGTATCTATTGTAGTTTTCAAGATAATAGGCAAAAATGCAATAATTGGGAAAAATCATCATTAAAGGGCAATAACTTCAAAAAGGAGTGCAATAACGATTTAGTTTATGTTGACTTATTTGTAGAAATTGTCTTGCTGATCATTTTTGCTTTTTAAAGTTTCTATCCATCTATCACAGTTTCCAAGTTAATTATAAGCAAATAAGCAAAACATTGGAAAAAATCGTCATTAAAAGGCAATATTCAATAAAGTGTTGACTGACGATTTCAATCATGTTCACTTATAAGTAGATTTTGTCTTGCTGATCATTTTTGCTGTGTCAAGTTTCTGTCTATCTATTATAATTTTCAAGATGATACGCAAAAATGAACAAAATGGTAAAATTCATCGTTTAAGGCCAATAACTCCTATAAAGAGTTGTGTGACAACTTTGATGAAAATTTTGTTTAATCAGATTTTCTCTATCTAAAGCGGTTTTCAAGATAATAGTTTGGCCCTGTCGTTTCAGAGGAGACGTTTTTTTTTTAAAGTAAACGAACGACGACGATGACAACGGAAGACGACGCCTGGACGACGGACACAAAGTGATGGGAAAAGCTCACACTGGCCCATTTGGTACATTTCTGGCATAGTAAGGGGAATATGTGCGATTTATAAGGTTTAATTGGGCCTAGTTTTTGAGTTAATAGTTCATCATTTCTACATGTACTGATTTTGTGTCATGGAAGAATACCCCATATCCTTATTTTCTATAATGAAAGTACTGATTTATGTCATGATTTACTTTAATGCAAATATTTCTCATAATTAAGATGCAATTTTACATAAAAATCTACACGACGTTTACCGTTAGTCAATACACAACATTCACTACCTTTGCATTTGTTCTGATGTGACTATAGAACTAACGACTTGATACATAACACTCAATAACTTGGGAAAGAAGAAGGCAACTCCTCTTGTGTTCTCTAGACATTCGTTGCATAAACAACGTTGTTCAGATACGTATGATAATTGGTCATTAATTATTTCTTCGGAAGTCGCTAGAATGTTTAAATATGACCTCAAACTAGTTGTACACTCTAATGTTTGCGTCCACACTTAGGAAACATGTGTACCAATTTTTTTTCACTGATATTGTAAATAACATTTTTACATATACATATTTATCAGAAATACAGTAAAATTTACAAGTTAAAATCTAGAGTTTCGAACCAATAAGTTACTGCCGTTTCTTGATGGATTTAATTTCACAATGGCTGAGTTGCCTTCTTTTAATGAGGGACTTCTGTAGCGCCCATCCGATTCCGTTCCAGTTGTGAAGGTATACGCTGACTGGCGAGATGAAAGTTTTACCTTGGTACACATCCGTCCACTAAACGCTAAAAATAACCATGGATTGACACAACTGTTTAATCCCGACAATAATAAAATTACCACCATAGCAGAATCTGAAAAAAGACAAATATGAATCATTTAAAGTTGTTTGAAATGCAGTGAACTTTACATGCTTACCATTGTTAACTTGTAAGATTAATTAATTTGTATTGTGATTGCTCATGTCCTCGCTGAAATTACCAGGATGCAAATAAGATGAAAACCATAATAAGGAGTTAGCAGTATTTCATTTGAAATCTGCAGGCATCAATTGACAATTGTATAGTCTAAATGCGACGCGTCCGCAAACATGGCAAAGCCGGTGAATGGATATTTTCATCAAACCATCAAAATAAAAGAGTAATAGCAATTCTATTTTCAACAATAGACCGTGGAATTAATCACATGTAATGTGTGGCCATGAAAAAAAAACCAAATGAACGTTACATACAGTATTTATTTAGAACATGACTTTTAACTTTTTGGATTCCAGAGGTCAGCTTTTGTAGCAACTTGTCATTATTATATTTTGGTATGATGTCCAGTTCTATGTATCTTTCCTGTCTTATCATACTGATGCCATTCATTATAAATTCTCTTTTACAACCATTTCTTTTTATTCAATATCGCACGAATTTTTTGGAAGCCAACATAATAAATAAAGAAATACATAAAACTGACCAATTTGAACATTCAAAGGTAATTACTTAGGCATGTAGTCAGCGATTCGGCACTTACATGATTTAGAATAGACCGATTGGTTAAATTTAAATTAAAAATATATTGCAGTCTAAATTTTATCCCTTAAGTTAAACTAGTTTCGTCAGAAAATGAATTTCTCGGTTCACCTTTACCTCCTTTTAGTCACATACTGATAACCTGCCACGATGTTTTTCTCTTAACGTTCCAGACGAAGGTTATGCAGGGGAAAATTACCTTAGAACGAGTAAATAAAGTAAGTGTGTTTCATTTACATGGCAACGGTAGAAAAACAATGTTTTAATCTCATAAATCCATTTAGACGACAAAACAAGTTAACAAACAAAAACTGAGTTAATCACATAAACTCTAAATACCTTTCGGAATTTTGGTTCCACACTGCTCTTCAACTTAGTACTATATTTGGCCTTTTTAAACTTTTTAATTCGAGCATCACTGATGAGTTTTTTGTAAACGAAAGGCGCGCGCGGTCTGGCTAACAATTTTTAACCCTGGTGTATATGATGAGTTTATCTATAATGAGTGAGACCTGGTTCGTCCACATGGTCATTGTCTCCTGCTATGCATGTATCACCCAATATGCGTATCTACACACTGTAAAAAGGTCACTATCAGGAAAAAGATGCAATCGGTAAATTTACAAATGACAACTAGTCTGGTATCTAAAGATCTATACTGCGAAAACATGTCGCTAGTAATTTGAGACAAGTACATATCGTCTGTGGTTATATGTATGACAAGGATGTTAAAAAATATGGTATTCAAGTTCCAAGAGAATAAGAAGGAATATATACATTCCGCGGTGTACTGTACTTCGTCAAATGTATTTTTCCGATACGTGACATGCATGATATGCAGGACTACTATTACAGTGACCAGTTAATATAAGAATTATGATGATAAATTTACATCTGTATGACAAACATGTTTGAAAACCTAAAAACTACAATTCTGTCAAAAACATCGATGACAGTGTTTGCCAATTTCTCACCGATTCCAAAGACTTACGTTAAAATTTAGCACAAGTCATCAATTTATTTTTATATTGACATATTTCACACTTTGCTTCGTAATCAAATCACCAGACTTTGTTTCTATGATTTTAAGTATCTCTATTAACAACGAATTAAATAGAATATACCAAGGGATAATCAAAAATCACCAAGAAGGAAACACAAAATCATGGATACATACAAAAGACGAACAACGGTAAACAAGCACGAAAGTCGCAAAAAACAGATGTTCACTAAGGTGTTTTGGACGGGTTCACCGTTTCTGCTCCTTTAGTAACGCCCGTCGTGTTACACAATGTGGCCTATCTAATTAGACTTATCACAAGTGTTGTACTTACATGAGCAACACGACGGGTTCCACATGTGTAACATGATCTGCTTACTCTTCCGGTTCATCTGAGATCACACCGGTTTTCGTGAAGTTCGTCTTGCTCAGTCTTTAGTTTTCTATGTTTTGTTTTGTGTTTTGTGCACTTTTGTTTGTCTTCTGGTCGTTTTTCGTTAGTATTTGAATTGTAGTCTGTAGAAAATAGATAGTATAGACAATTTCAGTATGACTAACAATATATGAGCACTAAGGGTGTCAACTCGACGAGGAAATGCTAATCGAATACTCGAGTATTTACTTGGTGAAAATATCTACAAAATGGGATCACATTTATGCACTTTTACATATTGTTGGTCGTTTTCTAATTGACGTTTAACCCCTCTATTTTACTATCAGGGAATAGATAATAGTCACACGAAATATATGCAAAAATTAATAGCTCATTTACTACATTTACTAATTTCGAAAGTAGAACAAAAATATATTCAATAATTTAAAAAACACCTTCTGATTATAAATTAGTACAAAGTCAAGCGAGATCATACAACAATTACATTTTGTAATCGTAAAAGAAAACACATTTACACAGACGCGGTGATTAGAAGTCACTAGTGCGGTGAACTGAGAGTCATCACAAGGTGTGACGAGTGTTCTTGTTATGAAATATTATCTTGTCAACAATTTCAGAAAAGAGTTGGTTTCGCAACTTTGTATATAACAGTGCCAGCAAACCAGCATGTTCGATTCAAACGGTACCAATGTGACGAGCATGGCTAAGACACGGTAGCCAAAATTGTAGGCCTAAGAAAGCTTTTTTTGTGTGTAGCCTTTTTATGCATATCGAAACTTTATTGGTAATTCCAAACGGAAGATTTCTTAGTCATTGAAAACGACAATTTAGCACACACATACGAAACACATTTTAACTATGATAAATTAGTGATTACTATATTACACAGGGACGTTCACAATAACGTCAATTTAAAAAAAAATGAGTAGTCGAGTACAATTTTGGTATTTGAATCTCTGTATTATTGTGTGATACTCGAGTATAAGAGTACTCGTTTACATCCCAAGTATATGCAGTGTATTTTTAGACTCATCTTTTTACTTCTTTATAAAAGTGCAAATATGACGTTTAATGTTAGAACTTGCCTATCAATTTAAGTTAAATCAAGCTGAAGTGTTAGTTAAGATCTTGAGAAATGAGAAACTGTCATTTTCAAGGAATTGATGAATTTAGTGCTTTAAACAAAAGTAATTGCATCGGCTATTAATACGGAAAACATTACACTTTAATTCCCATGGAATTTTCTAAATATATTACGGTGCATATCAATGCACAGCAAATGTATTTCAAATACATCTCTTTAGATTATTCAGTAACAGTTTTTAAGAAAATTACATTACTTATAAATGTTGTATGAATCCTTATTTATTTTCCCAATTACGCGCGGTATTTGGCAAATTAGAAGCGATTTTCGTTTTTCATTGCAACTTTTTTTTTAAAATGGGTTTTAAAAACGATTCTTTAAGAAGCAAAAAGTTACAATGATAAAAAGTAAAAAAACAAAAATACCGAACTCCAAGGAAAATTCAAAACGGAAAGTCCCTTATCCAATGGCAAAATCAAAAGCTCAAACACATCAAACGAATAGAAAACAGCTGTCATATTCCTAACTTGGTACATGCATTTCTTTATGTAGAAAATAGTTGATAAAGGGCGATGACAAATCCGTCTGCAATCTGATCATGTCCACGTCTATTGAATAATGAATAAAACAAACCTTAATTATTTTATTGACATCTTTGGTAATAAATCAAATAACATAAGATTGTGCTTTTGTATAGTGTTAATGAAGCTGTTGAATGGTATATAAGTACAAGAAGTTAAGAGATATAATGAAGTTAAAGAGCATTAAAAACCGAAAATTTTTAAGTGTGGCGCCAAATACGACTCTGTTTCTGAGGTATAAAAACCTTAGTGTTTCGAATAATTCATCTTTGTATAAACAGTAAATTGATAGAAAATTAGCATATCAATGATACTATAAGTTAACACAAAAGGTGTTGCTCATGTAAGTGCAAGCCCGGTTATATTTCTAATTTGTTAGGTCACATTCGAAGAAAAGAGGACTGGTTTGTGATTACAACAAATCCGTCGTCATCTGTGAAACAGATATTATATAATGATAGACACACTCTTTCAACTAAGTTCAGACAGTCCGTCGATACTGACATGACTTGATTTTTTCGTTTGTGAGTTTTATGTTTATTCTTAACTAATGTCGCAACCTTCTATGGTAAACTTGACATACAAATATTTAAGCTATTCTGTGTATCCCTAGCTTCGGTTCCGATGCGCTTCAATGCTTAATATACTTGGCTTTCAAACGTTTTGATTGACAAGATGTCAGAAAATTGATTTTAAGACAGTTTCGATGCGAATATTAACTTCTACTTCCCCATTGTGTCCGCCTGTCCGAATTGATTTTCTGATATAAATTCGAGAATCTTTTAAAAAGTATATCACAAAGTACAAAGCAGTAAACATCGGACAATAGCCTACGTAAAATAAAAATCAGTTTTTAAGAACTATAGATAATTTTGATTTGTTCCTTTAAAGACCTTTGTACGATTTATCTATGCACGAAGAGAACAAACTGTAATGCATAAAGCTACACCAGGGGTTTTTGTGACCTTGCTAATCGGTATGACCTTTCAGTGTATCGTTGAAGACCTACAATAGCAAGATAATCACTTTTGCTTTATAGATAGATTATTTCATAATGTGGGTGTTTTAAAAGAACAACCATCCCATATTCCTTCTTTTTTAATCCATATGAGCATTAGTTTCATTAAGAATCTAGAATAGAGACTGACAAATTCGTGTTCGCAAATAAATCTATAAATTACTCTAATTTTTAGAATGAAACAAATTCGTACATTCATAATATCAGATATTTCACTATTAATGATTGAAGTGTCAGCTTCAATTTCCTTATTTGATTTA